TAACACTGGGCAGACATGCAGAAGAGGACTGCAGGGTTTTGGTGGCCCCGGTTGGTTCCGTGTATTGACCGCCCACAGCTCGTAGGTGAAACGCAGCAGTCCTAGAGTGCTTTGCTGGAACAGATGCTCCTCCAATTGGAAAGATCAGGAATGCAGATGCCTCGGAGTCCCAGATCCGACTGTCTTCAGGGCTGCTTGGTGTGGCTCCGTTCTGCCCAATCATCTTCATCATTGCTGATCCTGTTGGTTGTGTATGAATCCTTAATGGCTCGTCTGATAAAGTTACCAAGTTCTAGGGGGAGAGGCTGAGAGGGAGATTTGGTGAACAATGTCCCCAAAACTCTGAGGGCCAGAATCCCCAATGTGGCTGGTTCCCAGACTGGAAGAGGGAACTTCGTACTAAACCCATTGCCAGGTTAATGGCAGGGCTGCTCTCTGACCTGTCAGCGGGAGAGCTTGCATGCCCCGGCTGTTCTCTGGGTGGGTGGGCCGAATTTTGGAATTTTCATATTAATACCTATTTCTCTCTAACGACTTGCATTCTTCTGTCATGCTTTGTAAACTTCCCTCAAAAAGCAGGTCAGTATTTGGAACGTTACATCATGCTAATTTGTAGCACCTCTATAATCTTAAATACAAAGAAACAATAGCACAGCTATCAGCTTATTTTATGACACCGGGAAATCCTGTGGTTTTCCCAAGGAGGAGGTAGACAAGCTAGTGAGGCTTGTCCAGCTCTGAGAAAAGGCAAACGCATACACTCCAGCCGGAAGTGTGTGCTGATTCGAGGAACCAAACCGTGGCCCCAGGCAGGGTGCCCGGGTCCTCATCTGGGTCTGGCTTCGCTTTGAGCTTTGGGTGAATTCTTCAACCTTCTGGGCCTCTGGCACCTTGTCTGTGAGGCAGCCAGGCAAATACCTGATTCTCCTGACCACAGGGAGAGCAATAAAATACCTCTCTTCAAAGCAAAGACGCCTCCGAGATCAGGTGATTGTACTGTCTCAGTAGTTTGGAAGACAAAGCAGCCCCAGCTCTTCTGGCAGGACACCTCCAGGAAGATTTATAATGGATGCTGAGGACTTAGCAAGGATTGAATGAAACTTATTAACCTAAATTGATCTCCAAAGGAGCTCCAGGTTGAAAAGGAAGGTTTGTGACCTTATCGGTGGCACCTTCCCAGTTCTGTAACGGGGAGACCCTTGCACTTTCCTCTCTCTGGAGGCCAGTAGGCCATCCCAGTGTGAGGAGTGATTAATTTGTCTACAGAGCCTCTTCCCCAGAGTGACTGTGGTTGCCATGCTGGCATTCCCTGCCAGCTGAAGGTCGTCCTTGCTGCCTGGGAGCACGTGCATCTTCTCGTGGCCTCTTTTTAAGGACCACGTTCTTTTCTTGGCCCGGAAGTCGAGCAGCAGTGAGGGCTGAGGAGGGTGCGCTCAGCCCCTCTGCACCCCAGGGCCAGGCGGAGTGCAGGAGCGAAGGGTGAGCAGCCGGCCCCTTTCCCCTTGGTCGGAGCCATGGCCACTGGAGGAGGGCAGCTCTTGGCAGCTCTCAGGGGAAAGGAGAGACTCAGGGCTCAGCGCCTCCTATCTTACTCTACGTAGATTTTCTCCATCATGCTAACAGCAACTGTCTGTCAAAATAAAACATCGCTAAGAGTTGGCAGGCAGCATAGGACGGGGGTTAAGAGTATAGATGTCAGGGTCCACCTGCCTGGCTTGGAGTCCTAGCTCTGCCACTTATGTGTTGGCCCTTTCCCAGTGCCCATAACGCGGAGGTTCTTGCACGGAGCTTCTTTCCCGCCACGGCCTTGGCAGGGTGCTCAACCTCTCTGCGACCTTGTCTCCTTTGTCATCTGACTGGGGGATCATCGTCACCCTCCTCGTGGAGTAGAAAAATGAGGATTATGAGTTAATACCCTTAAAGCGTTAGAACAGTGCCTGACACATAGTAATTGCTGTATGAGTGTTAACCAAATAGATAGTCTCTACTTAGTTATTAGAACATCAAAATTGATTTAGGCTCGATATCAATTCTTTTTTTATGAACTGAACTGTCATAAAACTTGAGTTGTAAATTTTTAGGCTGTTGCTGCTGTAGATGTAATGAACTGTCAATCACTCTAAGTATAAAATGACATTCAAGACACATTCACAGTGGGAATGAAATTGGAGCTCGTGGTGGCCAAACCGAGCTAAGCTCTACAAAGAAGCTGCCTGGCAGTAGTTCAGTAGTTGGCCTGGTTAACCTGTTTCCCTGTTGCCAGATAGAATCTCACAGGGCATCTCCCCATAGACCAGACAGAACCAGTGGCAACTCCAGGTAGAACTCCAGGCTTGGAGTTTGGGCTTCCTAAAATACGACTCGGAAACAGCTAGTTTAATGTCAGCAGTCTGGGTGTTTCTTCTTCTTCTTCTTTTTTTTTTTTTTTAATTCTTTTGTGAAAGAGTCTCACTCTGTTGCCCAGGCTAGAGTGCCATGTGGTGTCAGCTTAGCTCACAGCAACCTCAAACTCCTGGGCTCAAGCAATCCTCCTGCCTCAGCCTCCCTAGTAGCTGGGACTACAGACATGCGCCACCATGCCCGGCTAATTTTTTTAATATATTTTTAGCTGCCCAAGTAATATCTTTCTATTATTTTTTGTAGAGACGGGGTCTTGCTCTTGCTCAGGCTGGTCTTGAACTCCTGACCTTGAGCGATCTGCCCACCTTGGCCTCCCAGAGTGTTAGGATTACAGGCGTGAGCCACTGAGCCTGGCCTGTATCTTCTTAAAGGAAATGATTTGGTGCTTGCCAAAATAACAATTGAAATGAATGGATTTTATTTTATTTCAATTATTTCATTTTGATGTATCCACCATACAACATCAAACATAAGTTGTTTTAGATTACTAGGAAAATTAAAAATTAAATACTAGATTTTGTGGCTCATATATTTCATAACTCTAGGAATTGACATCTGTACATTAACTGGAATAAATTTTGCCCATCTTGCTGTTTTTAGTTTATTTGGATGAGGGGGCATGAAAAGGAAGAAAAGTAGACCTTCATATGTGTGCTTGGTCCATGAGCAATGTTTGGTAGTGGACAAGCAGGGGAAATTAATGCGAGTCCTAGCTTGACTTACCATGGCTGTTTTTTAAAAATTCCAAAAATTCAGTAGCTGCTTTCTGTCGTCTCTGGAAAGTGGCTCTGTGTTCAGAAGAGGATATTTCATGGAGAGTAGCCAGTTGTCTTATTTATTTTTAGAAAAGCCAGTTGCAGTTAAGGAAAGATGTTTTTATTTTCCGTAAGTCCTGAGTGTGATTTTTTTCCCCCCTGTTCCTCATCCCTGTAAGAATTCACACCCCCAGCCAGAGCACCGGAGCAGGAGTGCGGAGTTGGGTGGGTGCCATTAATGTGACAGTCCTCTCCCAGGCAGCTGCGGAAGCGGCACCGTCCCCACAGCAGGTGCCTGACAGTGGCTGGCTGTGACCTTCACGTTGTATTTACTGGCCACCCTGCCCGTCTCCCCAGGAGCTCGGCGTTGCCAACAGATGTCAAGGATGAATGAACGAAGGGAGAGATGTGGGGGTGGGAGCCTGTGGACTCTTCTTAAAACAAGGAGACACTTCCCCTTAAAAGATGGTGACACCGTCTGACCTCGCCTTTTCTCAGGCCAGCGTTATACATCCACGATTTCCGGTCTGACTTTTCCTCCCTGTGGGCATTTCTGCCTTCAGCTGGAGACGGAAAGCAAATGTGGAGAGCCAGCTCCGTTTGGAGGTGGGAGGCGGCCAGAGGACACGGGGACAGTGGCAGGAGTGTGTGTGTGTGGGGCGGCCCCCACCCCTTTGCCTAGGTCAGGCATGCTCCAAAGCTGCGGGCTGTGGCAGTGAGCGGGGGTGGACCCCTCGAGCACCCGCTTGTCCCTGACTCGAAGCCTGCTCCGGACCGCCCAGGGCGGGGTCAGGTTGGGTGCTGGGCTCCGAGGAGCTCTGTGTGTCTTCATCTCGCCCGAGGTGATCAGAAGGCAGCCTGGACCACTGCGGTTAAGCACTAAATGGTGTGGTGCACGCAGAAATCAATAGCCCCTAGAGTTTCCTTGAGTAAGAGTTGTAAGTACTTCACGCTGAATTCCATCTGGCTACATTTCATAGACGGATACTGAGATTATGGTTAGAACATGTTCAGAGTAGAAACGCTTTTCAAGACAAGGGCAGCTCATTGGACGAACGGAGTAGTCTGTGTCCTCAGACCCTGGGCACAGTGAGCACAGTGCCTGGGCACGGTCGGGACTGGAGTATTTGTTGTAGCTGATCCTTGGTTCTTCCATCCATGTCATTCTTTGATTGCCTTGAATTGCTCATTTCTTGTCTTCTAGGAATTTAGACGATACTGTTAAAGTGAATCTCAGGAAACGCCTTAAGGTGTATCGACGTTCCATTATCATTGCATGCTCGGGTTCTGCTGCAGAAATGACTGGTCTTGAAGCCGAAATACTGGACTTCGTGACGCCATTTCGGAAGCTCATTATCTTGTAAACTGAGGTGTCTGCTACAAATGAGGTGTCGCAGATTTAACGTAATTTCTAATCGGCATTTCCTGAGCACTAATTGTACTCCCAGTCCCAAAGGCTTTCTTGGGAAACTGAGGCATGGATCTATAGGAACCTAACAGAGGTGACCCAGCTGTCTCATCCTGGTTGGTTCTTGTAAATACAGTGGTAGGTGGCATTTCAAGTGGGTGTCCACATAATAGCATTTGTGGACTTCTTACTATTCTTTGACACTTATTCCTTCAATCTTCACAGAAACCCCATGAGGTATGCACTGTTGCCTCCGTTCTAGAGCTAAGTAAACTGAGGCTCGGAAGTGATGTAGTTTCTCCAAAGCGGAGCAGAAGGGTTGGTGCTAGGATCTAAACCCAGGTCTCTCTGACTCTGGAGTACACGTGCTATTCCACTGTGACCTGCTGTATGTCTGGCGATGCTTAGTTCTGAGCATTTGTCATTTTTCTCGACAGACTCCACAAAATGAAGCCGGGAGGCTTGTGGCTGCGCCTCACGCTGCTCGGGGCCTCGCTGCCGGCCGCACTGGGATGGACGGAGCCGGGAACCAGCGGAGGCCGGAATGTGGGCGTCAGGGAGCCACAGTCAGAGGTACAGTCAAATGCCAGCGGATACGACATTTCCAACTGATGTCTTTTTGATGTTGCAGTATCTGGTTTCTCTTCCACCCTCAGTTTAGATCAATTAGACCGCGGTGTGCATTAAAATAGCACTCCCTTTTTGGGTGGGGGACAGAAGAAAGCAGCATCTGTTGATGAGGACAGGAGGTTTATATATCATGGCGTGAGTAATGGCTCTACCGTCTCTCGAATGCAGAAACTGTATTCCGAATCCGAGCTTCAGTTGCGTGGTTTAGTCTTGTGCAAAGACCCTCGAGAGAATGGCCTTTCTGTATACTTAATAAAACTCTGAAAACGCAGACTAATTGGTGGAGCACACCCATGTGAATTAGTGAAGTGTTTTAATTATAAAATGTGTTTTAAAAGAAATGGACCACTTTTCAGGTGTGTAGATAAAAAGAACCATGCTGAGAAAGAACTGGCAAGTGGAAGTCCCAGGGGAGACAGCTTTAATGAACAGATAAGAATGATTAATGGCATGTTGGGTATGTATAAATGCTTCCAAAGTGCTTGAAAAACTTCTTCTCAAATACCTCCCCAGAGAGTCTGGATATACTGCTAATTGCTCAGCGAACTCTGATCTTAAGTGCCGAAGGGGATTTCAGAAATTGCAACCTTGCCCTGCTCAAGGTAGTAGGCCCCAGGAATTTGGGGTTTGGGGGTGGGTATAGTTTTTCTGCAGAAAATGTCTCATATGTATGCTCAACCTTAAGAAATGACTGCACCCTTTTCAGTACAACTACCTGGGATTTTCTCTATGGGCTGTGACAAAGAACAATTCCTATCAGGGAGCTTTTCGGGGTATTTTTCCTCCCATTGTCTTCCTTGTTGCCTGCCCTCCTCCTTTTCTCTCTGTTTCCTGTCCTGTGGAATGAGAAATAAATACTACCCCAAAAAGTCAACACTCCCAGAGAGTGGATGAGGTTGCACAGTGTATGGTAGGATTAATGCATTATTTGATCAAAAGACACGATTTCTCTTTCATTATTACTTAATTGTAATGCAATCCCGGACCTACAAGCCTTAATCTTCAGGGAGCTACAGAAGTAATTTAACGCACACTCTTCCCGCTGAAGTTGGCGTGGCTTCCTCCTTTGTGGCGAGCAGGTGATTAAACAGAAACGCTATCACTCCCGTCTAAATCCGTGAAGGACGCACCTTGATGCTCTCCCGAGAGGGCCCGCAGGCTGCCTGGCTGGTGGGAACAGCACCCCCACGTGGGAGCGGCTTTATCCCTATACTCACAGGCGTATGCAGGGAAAATGATCACGCAAATCCTACAAATATATTGCTGAATATTTAATAGCAAAGCAAACAGGCAGACACACAGGTACGCTCAGCCTTCTTACTGTTGGGGCTCGTGGGCCCACCATTTTCAATCACTTATTTCAATTAAAAAGTCAAGCTAATTAAGGTTGGATTTAGCTGGAGGTAAATTGCAGGTAAGTTAATACCAACCTAGGGTCTCTTTATCTCGGCTGTTAACACCCTAATTCTTTCTGTGCCAACAAGCAAGGGCAGGGCTGCTCCTTCTGAGGAGGTGAGGGCTTTTTTTCCGTTTTGGGCTATCTCCCCGCCCCCCGGGGTAGAGCCGTTGTCTTCCGAGTCCAGCAATGTTGCTGCTTCAGGAGAGGCAAGTGCTGACTCTGCAGAGCTGGGATGCGGGCGCACCCGCCCTATTGATCATGGGTTTTTTGTGTTTTTTTTTGTGTTTTTTTTTTGCTATAGCTTTTGCTTTTGCAGTGTTACAACTTCTACTCATTGAGTCTGCTTGTGGCAATGATTAAATGAGATGGTAATTCCAATGAGCACGGCCTCAGTAAATGTTTAGCTACACAACCAAATTATTTTTAATGGACTCATTTGCTGACCCTGATCACACTCTGTGCAAAACCCACCCAGTCACCCTGGTCCCTTACCTGGCGTGCTGTCTCTTCTTCCCACGTCTGCTTCTTCCCCTCCTCCGAGGCCCAGGTCTGGTTCTTACCTTTCCTCTAGAACCATCTTTGACCACTCTTGGTCACATTTGGTCTCTGTTTCCGAACTCTTAGTCCTTCCTGTCTTTTTTCCCTTTCTCTTGTGATTTTTATTTTAGCATTTGGATGAAGCCTCTTATCTTCCTCACAGTGTCCAATAATTTTGTGAGCAAAATAAAGGCTCAGTGGGTTTTTAAGCCCATCGAAGCGTATGTGGCATTTGGTACCGGTCATGAAGACATGCTAGTGTTTTCAAAATGCAGATCAGACCATCAGGTATTTGAGGACATGGCATACCTGTCCACATGGCAGGTCGGTGGCTGGCAGGGACGTGGGTGGTCTCCCTAGCCCACCTGTGAGCAGCCTGCAGGCCAGGCAGCCTTGGGCACTGTCAACACCAGGACCGTCCCTATGTTACATTAATAGTCTCCGGGGAGTTTCTTCTTTGAGTTGTAGTTATTAATATATCCATAACTCACAGTCACAACCATATTAAACTCCTCTATCAATTTCCTCAATCTTATTTCCTGGAAGAGTCAAAACCAACACAGTTCCCCGAGAGACTCTAAATAAGCTGAAGCACTTCTTGGGTAACCAACTGCTACAATGTGTGTTTTCTTCCTGATAGTGGCACTTCACAAATACTCATTGAAGATTTTTTAAGTACTTGGGAAGCATTGATAAGATTTGATCTGTCTCTAAAGTCATTATGCCAATTACTTAAGTGTCCTAAGGGTAAACCAGAATTAACTGACCCGTGTGTGTGCGTGTGCGTGCGTGCATATTTTTAAAGCAATTATACAAGGGTGAATATTTTTGTCTTATGTGTGGTGGCTGCAGTAGAAATAGCTTCAGGAGCTTACCATTCTACACAGGTGTAGACAACAAGACATGCAGCTGGCTGGGCGGAGAGCCTCCTCCACAAGAATGGAGTGGCGATCGAGGCCTGGACTGCTCACATAATTCTGAATTTAGAGGAGACAATTCTGAGATGTACAATTTATTGAAATTCTGTGATGTTTTTATATTTCTCCCCTTTTCCTCTATCCAGAGGCTCCTTGACTTACGATGGAGTTGTGTCCTAATAAACCCATTGTGAGTCGGAAATACCATGAGTCGAAAATGCGTTTAACACGTCTGAGCTACCAAACCTCACAGCGTAGCCCAGCCTGCCTTCAGCAGGCTCAGAACACAGACGGTAGCCCACGATTGGGCAAAATCATCTCACAGAAATCCCATTTTATAGCAAAGGATCGAATAGCCCATGTAATGTACTGAACGCAGCACTGAACGTGAGGAGCAGCTGTGTGGGCCCTTGAAGCACAGTTTCTGCTGAGTGTGTGTTGCCTTTGCACCATTGTGATGCTGCAAAACCCGAAGTCGGGGACCGTCTGTGGCCTGGCCAAGATAACTGCGGTGGTAAAGTCAGTATTGGTAGAATCCTGCATCTGGGGAACCAAGGAGCCAGGAAGGGGTGAGAAGTGACGCGGTAGGGAGCTCGTGGGCATGAGAGGCAGGCGTCGGTGGGGCCCTGGGTGCCCTGTCCCGGCACCACGTGCGGGGCTCTGGCACTGAACGGGGCCGTTGCAGTCTTACGCACCCTTCACGCATTTCACTTAACCTTTCCTAGGCAGTCAAGTACTGAGTCCCTGCACACGTTAACGTTGCTTCTCATGTGCCTCGGCGCGTGCAGACCAGGGACACGTGGAGCGCTCGGGCACCAGGTGTTTTCAGTATTTGCAAACTCTCTCCACGGAAAGTCTCCGAGAAAAAAAATATGCAGGGTGGTGTCAGTTAACTTAAGCATGATCACCTCCTCCCTAGCCCCAGGGCTCAGACCCAGGCAGCGCTGATCCTACCCTGGCAGCCCGGCCCTGTCCCCTTTCCTTGAGCGTCGGCCCCAGACGCCGACAGCAGACATGGCACTCCCGTCCCCGAGAAGGCGGCTTCTAATTGCAGGGTCCCTCAATGCTCTCCGGCTCCCCTCTGGTTGGGCATCCGGGAGCACGGGGGCTGCTAAGACTGGGCTTGAGACTTCAAAACTATTTCATTGTTCTTGCAAATTCTGTTGACTTGAAGGCAATGCCCCCACCCTCTGCCGCCCTTCCTGTTGAAGTTCTCCCCAGCACCCAGGCCCTGAGCATGCTTTCTCATTTCTGGGGAAAAGCAGCTAGAGGTCTGCCCACTGGTGTCTCCACTCACCCTGGCCTCAACCCCATCGTGGGCATGAAGAAAAGAAACTCTCTTCTCCCTGTGCACAGACAGGGGTCCAGGCTGGATGTGCACTCAGCATTTTCTAAGCCTTACCTGCATGCATGTACCATGTGTTTTCTGCAGTGTCACCCTCCCCAGGCACCCACTGCCCCCAGGTTTAGCATGTGACTCACTTCCAAACAAGACGAGCCTCTGGGGAAGATCGCTCAGCAGGCTGCGAGCATGGCCTACCCCTCAGGGCCATGCATGTCGGGGTTACCAAGAGCTCCCCTTCCACAAGGATCCAGAACTTCCGCTGCAGGTGTGGTGCTGGCAGTGGACACAGGGGTCCTCTCCTCTGGGTCCCCAGTACCCCAACAACCAGGCCTCTCTGCTGATGATCCTGAGTCAGAAGGTGTGTGCAGTTTTCCAGGTAGAATTGGGAGGTCACAACCTCCACCTGCAGGTGTACAAGTACACCCGTAATTTTCAAGGCGACTGATGATCCTTCCCAGTTCTCAGGGGTGTTGGGAGGAGCCCATTTACTAAGTTGGCGTGGGCTGTGCCCAACTCCAGCCCCTCCTGAGCGCCCACGTGCTGGTGAACGGCCCGGGGTCTTGTTGGAACTGCAGGCTCTGATGCGGCAGGTCTGGGGCGGATCCTGAGCTCGAGCTCCAGGTGGAGCCCATACTTCCGATGTCAGCGGACGCCGCGCGGGAGAGCCCGGGAGGAGGACTCCCAGCCCCAGGTACACAGGCAGGAAGGAGGATCACAGTCGAACGAGCCACGGCAGCTGTGTTTT